CGGTTTCCGTAGCTCCCTTCAAGCTCCAGCCTGCTCCTAGCACGCTACAACATAAACTCTTCATACCAACACCTATCCTAAGACCTATTTTGACCCAGGTCTTACAGCTCCCTGTCGTCGGTGTTACCACCACTCCGACTTGGCTGCTACTAGTTCTCTCCTTCTCTATCCTCGATCTCTGGGGACTAACGGTGTAACGGTGGTGTTGTTAATAACTTCACCACTGTCCCCTCATAGCTTCCGCCCTTAGTTACCAATCAGCCCTTGGCATGGCGTACCGGTATACATGATCTTAACAGCTACTGGAAAACACTCAAAGGCTTTGGGGGAAAAGATTGGAATAAGATGAAGACAGAATTGTTCGACGCTTACCCAGGTTCCAAGAAAGGACATCGTTACACAGTAAAAGGCTTGATGAAACTTGCTGAGAAGAATGCAAAAAACCGAATTGACGAGGAAGGGGATCTTATCTAGTACTACCAACAGTTCCGAGTAATGTCGAGACCATTGAAAGACGATAAGAAGGTTTTGGTGGATGAGTCAAACTGCTACTTCTGGTACAGTCTTTATAAACACGACCGTAAGGAGATTCTTGGTTGCATTGAGCTAAAGGACTTGACATTTGACAGGACCACAGTTCCGGACATGGAACTAGCCTTCAAGATGGGTTGCAAAGTCTTTAGTGACGACGTATTGGGCATGGAGTCCGATGACCCCATTGCCGAAATGTTCACAAAGCCAAAGAAGAAGAAGAAAGGCAAGGTTGTCATTATTGAGTCCACGAGTGAAAGTGAAGATGATGAAGATAGTGATTCAAGTGAGAGTGAAGAGTTGGAGGAAGAGAAGCCAAAGAGGAAGAAGACGGTGAAGCAAGTAGTGAGGACAAAGATTGTTGAGAAGCCGCAGACGGATAGTGTCGAAGATCTTGCCAAACAACTCCATGCATTGAACGTTCAGGATGTCAATTACGCAGGAGTTTATGCCAGACTAGCAACAATTTCGCCAGTGGTTGCAGGTGCTATCGCAGCACTTCCACCAATTCCGCAGATAGTGACAACAGCGGCAATTCCTGCAATGGTGGACTTACTGAATGGTCTAACTCTATATGGTGTTGAAGCTGTCAGTTAATTATGTTGGTTCAATGGCGTAGTGGTTATCGCATCTGTCTTACATCTGTGGAAACACTGTTTGTTCACAGAAGGTCTCTGGTTCGATCCCGGGTTGAATCATGTACTTGTGCGTCCTTGGTTTCTTTTTTGTGGGCGGTATACATTGTACAGTGGTTGCAAAATAAAAAATCACACATTTCTGAAGGGTTACATGCTGCTGCCTGCAAGGTTCGAACTTCCTTTGCCACTAGGGTCCGTGTACGGTCCGTGTCTTATGAATTCCACTTACAGCTCTTTCCACTTACAACTCCTTCCCCTTGCAGCGAAGCAATCTCGTTCTAGTAGATGTTGTCTCATTGTGTGAGGTGGCTCACAGAGATTGAAGATACCTCAAACTAGTGCCGCATGATCCTAATGGCAAGAACGGGACGAGCAAGTAGTGCGTGTACAACGAGGAGAAGAGGCTGGAAGACGGAAAGCCGATCCCGACCGGAATCACTAATTCGATTATGAATACCCACGTGAGCTGTCAACGAACCTTCCATGACACCATTACTTTCTTCGGGCGACCTTCTTAAAAGGCTCAGTCATCCTTATCCCAGTACTCCCACAATCTCACTATAAAACCTCTGAACGGCCGCCATATCCCACTCAAAGCCTTTTGAAGCCTCGTCCTCAAGACCATCACAGAATCAGTTGAAGATAATGGCCGTTCAAGAACTTGTTAACGTGCGTTCTCCATTCCACTACGGTGTAGGAAGTGATTCGTGGCTGATTAACCCTCTCCCACCATTGGAATCGCTTCATTGCCATTGACCACATGCATCCAATTGTCGTTATCAAACATACGTCCTATTTTCATCGAACCCTATACATCCGCTCTTAGTCATCTATCGACGAGAACACTGTCACGATCTTCTCCAAGAGCTGGTGTCCCTACTGCAGAGCTGCCAAGTCGCTTTTTGAGAAAGAGTATCCTGATGTGCCGACCAAGATCTTTGAGTATGTGTTTGGACCACTCTTTCTTTCATCATCATCGCGTCACCCTCGTCATTCGATATTCATCCTCGTCACTTTGTGTTCCTCGTCGTCCCTTTCTTTGTCTGCAGCGTTACTCATGCGCTTATCTTTTTAGGTTAGACGAAATGGAAGAAGGCGCTGAGATTCAATCATATCTCGCACAGAAGACCGGTCAACGAACTGTCCCGAATATCTTCGTTAGTCCGTATCCGTTCCTTTCCTGTACCGAAACATACTCTGATTGCTCTTGTTATTCTTACTAGACAAGCAACACATCGGTGGTATGATTGCTTCACACTATCTATTGCGCAAACTCCTCTCTTACTTTCTTTTCCCCCTTGCAGGAAACGATGCAACCCAAGCCGCCTTCAAAAGTGGCAAGCTCCAGACTCTCATCGCTGCGTAAGCTCCCGTCTCGGTCCGCCCTCTACGAGCATGAGAAGAGCTGCTGTCCTTCGTTGTAGTCGTCCAGCCAATTCAGCGCGGCTGTAGGTCTAAGTACAATACACAGGGAAGTGTTTAGAGAGAAGATAATAATGATGTTGTAGAAATTCAAGGTTCAAAGAAGTTTGGTGTGTATGTGGAATATAATTCATGTGTTCTCAACAACAAAGTCTATAAGGAATTTTACCCCTTGCTAAGAGCGTTTAACGGGTCTCGCCGGCGACATGCGGAAAGAAGTTGAGGCGTTTAAGACTCAAGAGCTCGAAGGTCTCTAGCCTTTCACTAGCGGCAAAATCCATGGGTATCGTCCTCTCTGATGCATACTCCCGCAAGACGATCATCGGTTGAGGAGCCTCTATGCTGTCCGAGCAACTGTCGAACGAACATCAGCAAGTGTTAAATACGCACCGATTTCCTCTTGAGCTCCCATCCATCAGAAGCTCGCATCAACATCAATGCACTCGCTCAAATTCCTTCCGCTCAAGGATGAGATTCCCGACTACCATTCAGGCGAAATGGCGACCTTTTGGACGAAAGAGGTCATGATACCTTGGGTCAGAGATTATGTTCCAAAGTATGATATTAATGTCAAACTTGTCTACCTCTACCTGACCATATAACATTCAGGAAATGCTCTCACGCCAAATGCCTTCCGCTTAGCGAACCTCTATTGTTATGAAGCATTATTGATCAAAACTACTTTCCTGTAACCCCTCTTTACTATCTGGGATGGTACATTCCAGCCGATGACCTTCGCGACTAGCTCCTTCTCACATGCCTACGACTCTTCCAAGCTCGAGCCCAAGGATCGGTTCCATTTTGAAGGGCAGAGCTCTATATCATCTGTGCTTCAATAACTTCAACCTCAGGTAATACTCCGTACGCGCGAACGGCAGCTTCAGACCCTACATAACTCATCCATCCTGGACAGGGAATGCTCTCATGGCAAATTCCTTCCGCTCAATGAACCTCCATTGCGACGAGGGGTCTTTGATTTGACCTGCTTCCACGTAACACCTATGTACTACCTGGGATGGTGCATTGCCGCGGATGACTATCGACTACTACCCTGAAGCTCACGCCAGAATTCCGGACTTCTACATAGTCAAAAGAGGTTACTGTACCTTGGATCAGAGACTACGAACACAAATACAAGTGCAATATACCGTGCGTCTGACGACCCATAACCGAGATCTTTGACCAGCTGACTCCCCCCGCCCCCAGCCATTGCTATTTCCGACCCGAATTGCCATATGTTACTGGAACACAGCAACTGCATGCTTTACTTGTAATCACCAGCCAACGGTGCCCAGGAATTCATTAATATCAGTCGGAACGAACAGTACATCAAAGATGCCACTCACATCGCTCATGTCAAAGTTTTCTTCGGTGAAATCAAGTGGGTGAGTTGCAATTTTCCTCCCTGTGTGTGCCATATATAGTCAAATCGCTTCAAAAACCAAGCATCCTGTGTGAGAAACTGATAAACAGGTGGAACAATGTGCGTTTCGGTATACTCACGAATTCACTGCGAGTGGGTATACGTTCCACAGGGTACATAGACGGTGCACCAAAATCTATCGGGTAGATGTTCATATCTGCATCAACTAGAAAATTTCCTGAGGAAAAGTCACTGAGACAAGTTAAGGGCTTTTGCCAAACTTGGAAGGGTAGAAAGACTGGTCTTACACATGAACATAACCAGTTACCTGGATGAGTTCGTAATCAAAGTCCGCGATATTTTTGAAGACTTTGTCTACCATTTCCTGCCTCTGACCCCCCTCCTCCTGCCACTGTTTTGTACCCTTCAGCGGCATTCCAGGGACTTTGCGCATGACAACGAGGCCACTCTTTCTAGGGGGATCTTTGAACTTCACAAAGCCACTGGTGACAAACGTAGGTGTTTGTCCTTTGGCTTTCTGAAATTCTGCGAATTTCCGAAGGGCAAAGACTTCACATGAAGAACCCTCCCAATTGTAATCTACCAATTTCAAGACTGTTTCATCTCCCAAAATTGACTCGAACTCGCTGACTTCATGCGGTAGAGTGAAGATACCCAAGTTGTTTTTTCCAGGGTTCCCTGGGACCATCGACTTTGCTTTGAGCATCTTCCGCGTGAAGTCAGTTGCTACAGAGCCACGGAACGTGCCGTTATCATTGTTAAACCCTCCGTGCTATAGAAAAGCAATGACTCTTACCAAAAACTTCGCTATTCTTGTCATATGATTCTCCACACTCCCAGCGCTTTTCCGGATTTTTTGGGTCAAGGTCAATCTTCTTCAACCAAGGGGCATGCTACGTTGATGGAACTCAATTCACTGAAACTGGAAGAGCTCTAGTAGACACGTACCGTTTGATCTAACAGTGGCCACCATAGATCTTTCTTTGGAGGGTTGATAACTCCTAATGGCACAGGTGCAGCTGCTTTCACTTTCGAGTCTGTCGGCATGGCATGAACAACCACAAGCAGGACAATCGCTCCGATAAAAGACTGCGACAAGATGGTGTGCAAGCACATCATAAGAGATTGTGTAACAATCAAGAGTTGCTTGCAGGGACAAGTTTCTGACCAGCAGAAGTTTTCTTGAAATTCAGAAGGGAGAAGTCGCAGGTTAGAGGGAGCCACCAGGAGCTACCAGAACGACAGAAACAAATTGGTTAGGGCTGCTATTTATGCGAATTTGGGAAGATCAGGTCATCATTCAATACTACTTTCTTATCTTAAAAGCCTCGATCCAGGGGCCAATCTTGCCGCGGCGTCCATCGGGACGCAGGATTGCGCTGGGTTGCATCGGGTCAGGAATTTATGACATACATCAGGTTGCGCTGGATTGCGTCGGAGCAAGAATATCAGGGCGCAGGAGGATGCAGAACATGGAACAAAGTTTGTGACTGAGATATTTCTCTAACTGACAAATTGAGAGGTGATAGTCGAGATAGAGGTACTCTGTGAACAGGATTGGTGAGGGATGGTTGTCCATATGAAGGGAACTTTGGAGATGGAAAAGGCATAATGTAGTAAGACTGGATTATATGTTCAGGCTGAGCAATCCTGCCTGAGGTTAAATAAACAGCTTGAAATAGGGCATCATTTGAGTGAGCTCACAGAATGAAATGCCTGGAATTGAAGTCTAGATGCAATGGGTAAGTAGACAAGATCCAACGCAGCGCTCAAATTCAAGGAACCTATGTATGACAAAAATCTCAACCATTGGAGCTTCAAGGGAATATTACGAGGCTGTAATTTATGCAAGACCCCCTAACATCTTACACTGTTACATTACACTTCAATTTCTTTGTATGCTGATCTTTTGTGATGGACAGGAGATGCCCTCAGGCTCATACGAAATTTCCTCCATTTGATCAACTTTCAGCATGCAATGGCAATTGACATATTCCCTCCACTATAATGATGCTACCTAGAATCTCAAGTGTAAGAACTATTTTGGCTGATCCTAATGTGGTTGCAGTGCCCACCCTGATTACATTCATGATCATTGAGCAAGACAATTTTGTTGTCATAGCTCATCATTTGAAGCTCTTGATCTCAGTCGGAATGAGGTAGTTCAAAGAGAATGGCATTCATCAACGATGTGTATATCTTGCACAGCAGTAGTTTCCCAAGTATCCTTGTCAAGGTTCTCATTATCACAATG